AAAATTTCACGAGAAATTAATGCAAAAATAGCGAATCCCACCGTCGATGTTAGTTTGTGCTTCCTCGTCCGCCATGATACATGTTAGCAACATCGTCCCCAGCGTTAACCTTAAGCGTTAACCACATCGATCGAGAGGGACTGAGATTGAATTTTGGACACCTTGTGACATGTTATACCAACGAAAGATGCCTACGATGTTTCTCGGGGATTCGCCTTTCTCGCCAACAAAGGGTGAATATAACGAGTATAACTGTATTTTGGCAAATATTGTACATGAAGTTTTAAAACATGTTTCAGATATTTCATGGGGCTATGTGATACACATCTAGCCCCGAACACTGTTGGTGGTTTTGGTGGATGTTGGAGTCTACATGACTACATCCACCAAAACCACTCGACCTGTCAAGACCGCACATATGAGCCCTTACCTATAACCATTGTTAAATCTCCAAAGAGGCAAGGGTTTTAATTTCTTTAGGCGCATAGTTACGCTTCTGCAAAATACTGACGGACTTTTTAAGACCATACTCATAAAGCATAATAATTATTGACACAAACAAAATTTTAATCATGGTTTTTATCAGTAAGTTGTTATATTATTTGCACATAAAAATATTTTATTTATTATTATTATTATTATTATTATTATTTTTAATGTGCACTTGTGAGCAGCACACTTACACTTCCAGTGAACATTTTCACTTAGCCTGCGTGGCAGGCGCAAAAAGGGGAGGGAGGGGGGGGGGGAGAAAAGTGCAAAAGAGGAGAAAGGGAAGGGAGCTTCCCCTCTACCTTCCCCTCTGCCCCCTACGGCCCTCCCTTTTTCCCTTTTTCCCTATCCCCTATCCCTTTCGACGCCTGCTACGCAGGCTAATTTTCACTTGGAAGAAGGAGAAACCATGCTCGCCCGGGGCAACGAAAATTTTCGTGCCCCAGGCGAGAATCGAACTCGCGACCTTCCAAATCCCGTCATTCCCGGGAAACAAACGGGAACATCATGGCGAGAATTTTAAGTTAAGAACCTGCGTTCGATAGGAAAATTGCTGAGAATTTTGGATATATGATTCTTCCGTCCAAGCACAGGTAGCCCAAGCTCACTATGAGAGCCCTGCACAACATTATCCTACTTAGCAAGTTAATTATTCATACAGCAAGAAAATTATAAGACGTTGTATGGGGAAATGTTCTTTGCTCACTAAATTAGCAAAATGTACATTGAATATCGCTTTGAAGCTTACCTTTAGCGTCTTCTTGTTCTTCTTTGTATTCTGACTGCATTTTAGACCTCCTAGGCACTGTTTAAGGCCTTTTTTGAGCGACCGTTTTTCACCCAGATGACAGTAGAGAGAAGAGAACAGAAGGTTGGCAAACGTCTCTTGACCGGCTCCGCTCTCGGCGGCGATAAATTGGCTTTTCTTTCGGGTAGAAGAGCACAGAACGCGTCATCAGAATGGAATTGGCAAAAGAGTTAAATTATCGTTAATTTATGACAAATGTATGCAACCGGGTAGTCGTAATAAAGACAAACTTATGCATTGACATTAACGCACTACAATGTCTTCTCACGGTAGAATCGAGTACTTTTAGTTGAAGTGTGGAAATGTGGAAATGTGTCTCCACTGTCTCTATGTCTCTTGGTTGTCTTTATCTAGTAACTCTGGAAGTGTGGAAATGTGGAAATGTGGAAATATGTCTTCCTTGTCTTTGTCTAATAACTCTGGAAGTGTGGAAATGTGGAAATGTGGAAATATATCTTCCTTGTCTTTCTCTAATAACTCTGAAAGTGTGGAAGTGTGGAAATGTGGAAATATGTCTTCCTTGTCTTTCTCTAATAACTCTGAAAGTGTGGAAGTGTGGAAATGTGGAAATATGTCTTACTTGTCTTTGTCTAATAACTCTGGAAGTGTGGAAATGTGGAAATGTGGAAATATGTCTTCCTTGTCTTCATCTAGTAACTCTGGAAGTGTGGAAATGCGGAAGTATGTCTTCCTTATCTTTGTCTAATAACGCTGGAAGTGTGGAAATGTGGAAATGTGGAAATATGTCTTCCTTGTCTTTGTCTAGTAACTCTGGAAGTGTGGAAATGTGGAAATATGTCTTCAATGTCTTTATCTAATAACTCTGGAAGTGTGGAAATGTGGAAATGTCCCTCCACTGTCTTTATCTGTTAACACCGGAAGTGTGGAAATGTGGAGAAATGTGTCTTCATTGTGTTTATCCAATAACTCTGGAAGTGTGGAAAACTGGAAATCTAGAAATGCGTCTTGTTTGTTTTAATCTAATAACTCTGAAAGTGTGGAAATCTGGAAATGCGTCTGGGATGATTTGAGAATTAAAAATAGGACTCGCTTGCGGCGAAATTACTTACGTTACTTCCTATTGCTGTCAATGGCAAGACAGTGCATTGCTAGTTTCAGCTCACCGCCAGGCCGCATATTTTTGTACTTGTTTGTTCGGGAGGAAAATGGACGCCACTGACTGTTGCGGGTTTGGCTTTTAAGAAATACAATTGGCGACCAAGTAAGCACGAGGATTTGCTTCACTAAGGATTTTGAAGCTCTTTGCACAATCAACTTTTAAATAAACGCATAAAAACGCGCAATCGTAGTTTGCTCTGACAAAAGTATTTATGCAACTGAACCGATGAAATGCATCTCAGTTCCGGTTCGGATTTTTACCATCAACAGCCCTGTAATGTATATTTTTTTCGGGACTTAAGGTATCATCCAGGGTAAAAAATCATAATTTTTCGAAATTTTCAATTTTTAACTGATTAAATAGAGCTAATCAAGAGCTTCCTTTAAAAAAAAATTCCAGAAAAAATGTTTTTTCTGTGCAGACTTATGGAGTGCAAAAGTTTTTTCTATGCTAATTATTTTAATTGATCGTTGACAAGTCCTGTCATACTTGATACGCATGTCGCTGTTGAACCAAGCTAATCACGCAATTTGACAGAAATCGCGGTCTACAAGTATAGCACTCACTGTTTTTCCCTAACTGAGACGAATTTTATCGGACCAAGGTTCATAATCTTAAGCATGGTGAAATGCAAACTACCATAATGTTTTTTTCGTACCTCGTTTTTATGCGTTTTTTTTTTAAAGTTGATAGTGCAAAGAGCTTCAAAATCCTTAGTGAAGCACACCCTTGTACTTACTTGGTCGCCAATTGTATTTCTTGAAAGCAAAACCCGCAACAGTCAGATTCTGTACAAAAAGGCCGTCCATTTTCCTCCTGAACAAACAACTACAAAAATATGCGGCCGGGCGGTGAGCTGAAACTAGCAATGTCACCGTCTTGCGATTGATAGCAATCGGAAGTAACGCCAGTCATTTCGCCGCGCGCCAGTCCTATTTTTGATTCTTAAATCATCCCAGACACATTTCCAGATTTCCACATTTTCAGAGTTATTAGATTAAAACAAACAAGACACATTTCCAGGTTTCCACACTTCCAGAGTTAGTGATGAAGACACATTTCTCCACACGTCCACACTTCCGGTGTTAATAGATAAAGACAATGCGGGCACATTTCCCCACTTCCAGAGTTATTAGACAAAGACAAGGAAGACATATTTCCACATTTCCACACTTCCACACTTCCAGAGTTATTAGACAAAGACAAGGAAGACATATTTCCACATGTCCACACTTCCACACTTCCAGAGTTATTAGACAAAGACAAGGAAGACATATTTCCACATTTCCACACTTCCACACTTCCAGAGTTATTGGACAAAGACAAGGAAGACATATTTCCACATTTCCACATTTCCACACTTCGACACGTCCAGAGTTATTAGATAAATTAAGACAAGGAAGACATATTTCCACATTTCCGCACTTCCACACTTCCATAGTTATTAGACAAAGACAGGGAAGACATATTTCCACATTTCCACATTTCCACACTTCCAGAGTTATTAGACAAAGACAAGGAAGACATATTTCCACATTTCCACATTTCCACACTTCCAGAGTTATTAGACAAAGACAAGGAAGACATATTTCCACATTTCCACATTTCCACACTACGAGAGTTACTAGATAAAGACAACCAAGAGACAATGGAGACACATTTCCACATTTCCACACTTCCAAAGTTAGTAACTAAAAGTACTCGATTCTACCGTGACAAGACATTGTAGTGCGTTAATGTCAATGCATAAGTTTGTCTTTATTACGACTACCCGGTTGCATACGTTTGTCATAAATTAACGATAATTTAACTCTTTTGCCAATTCCATTCTGATGACGCGTTCTGTGCTCTTCTACCCGAAGTAAAAGCCGATAAATTCCGTGACATTTGCGACATGGAGACAATTCCGCCAGAAACAGATGTCCCGATAAATAACGCACATTTTCCATCATTCACATCGCCAAAATTCCCATTTCGAAGGTCCTAAATCGCCAACGAAGTGGGCAATACACGGCTGAGGTTAGGCGAGTCGAGAGCAGACCCGCAACGGACTCCAACCGTCAAGTCGACAATTTCAAACCGACGAGGCTGGCAGGGTCAAATTGTTCAACCGTCAAAGGACAATTGGAGCATTTAGCCTACTTGGCACAGTAACTGATTTTTCACCTCTCACATTGCACTCCGGGGTCGCGGAAGTCAAGCATCGCGTGTAATGGTGACATGTAATATTATACACTTAATGTCAGTTCCCTCGGGAAACAGTTAGTTTTGTTTTCCCGAGAGTCCTGATGTTTCCCGAGACGAATTCCTAGACTTTTACTTCAACAGTGACAAAGAAGTAAAGAACGAATGGAAACAATGTCAGTACTTCAAAGGGCACATTTAATTCAAATCTGTAAATGAATTACTTAGCACAAAGTATATGAACAAGTAGTTTCTGGACTTAAAAGCTCAATATTGAGATAAGCTCAAAGAGAATCACTTGGAATTACCTTGATAGAAGTTTATAGTAACAGTTGCTCCTGAAAATGCGCCTGCGTTAAAGTTAACCGTTTCCTGGCTTTGCGATGCGAAATTTTGCATCGTAATGGGTGATCTTGGCACTGTGTTTCCGACTAAAGGACAATCTGCCTCTGCAGTTTGCTCTTGCCTCTCTAAACTTTCAAAACATGCAGTACTGAGTGAATGGGAAATTTCCTTTTGTTTAACCTCAGAAAGGCGCCTTGAATAAGAGCGAATGCTGCTCTCAGACTTGTGGCCAGAAACACGCATTATATGGCGGGCCTCAAAATTACACTCGTCTAATAACGATACGGCAGTTGCCCTAATACAATGATTGGTGTACTGATAAGACAATTGTATTTCCTTTGAAATGGAACTCATTAACGTAGCTAGCGTATTTTTTCCGAGAGGAGCATTACAATACCAAACTTTATCACTTTCGCTAAAACTTTCACGCGCCTTCGGCCTTTGCCACAAACACGACAAACTAGGATTAAGCTTTGATAAATACAGTTCAAAAGTTTTTACTGGACAGTACGAACTATTCGGTCTTTCATACATACGGCCTTCACCTGGAGAATCATTTGGTTGATCCTTTCCCCTGTGATTTTTGTCCAGTTCATCAAGTGCTTGGATCTGCTGCCCCTTCCTTACGATGGAGAAATCAAGGATCTCATTTTCTTTTACAAAGCGAGTACTAAAATATTGATATAGACATTACTTATTATGTAACCTTTAACAGTCATCCACGTAGGTGCCACGGCCAGTCTGCTGGCTGTTACTCTTACGTACCGTCCCCGCCTGTAAGACCTGCACTTTTCAATCTTTATACTTTGTTCGTATTGTAAAACTGTGGAACCAGGGGCACGGGAGCATTTTGTGATAGAGGGGTCCTAGAGATATAGTATACATAAGGACAGCGAAGGACGCACTTTTCTAGGGAGTTTCGGGCGCATGCTCCTCCGGTAAAATTTTTTAGATTGAAGTTCTTCGAGATGCAATCTAGTGCATTCGGGACGCTTAAATTTAGCAAATGCCTGGATTCCATGTTGAACATTTAATGCTGAAACATTTTATAAACCGCAGGTGTGGTTATGGCCAAAGAAGTAATTAACACTTCATGCTAGCAGTGGCCGAAGTGATTGCAGAGAGAGCACAAACTCCCGGCAAAGGGGCAGCATTGTCTCCCTGAAAAATTGTCAAATCAGTTTGTTTGAGACTGATATTTACTGCATGTATTCTGATAGCTTTGGTCATTTGTGACTAAAAATGTAGGCTTCGAACGCAGATTCTTCTCTTAAGGTTATTAACAATGTTTGTTAAAGAAAATATAGATTTAAGTAACAAAGCTCGAAGTACCATCCGACGCACGTTTACAAAAGAAAAAAAATTCCCAGACAAAAGGGGGGGGGGGGGCGGAGCCCCCCGGGCCCACCTCTAAATCTGCCCTTGTGAACAACATGTGCAATAGAGCTTTACCTAGAAGTTTTACGTACGTCCTTAGCTGTTTTTTATCATTTTTGAAGAACCTGTATAAGTCTCTTTTAACGAGTGTTTTTTATGTGGACCTGGTCTGCTCATGGTCCATCTTACGTGACTGTTCATGTCACTACATTAGATTGCTTTATTATAATTAGATTTTTTACTGTAATAAGCTTTCCCTACAATTAGACTGCAACTTATTACAATTACATTTTTTGCTACCATTTGATTTCTTCTTTTATATCTAACAGATTTTTCAAGTCAATTAGTTTTTTCCTCTTGTACGTGTTTCGAACTCTGTAATTTCCCTTGTAGTGGGGCGGATATGTGCAGATTTGGGGCCGGATTGTTCACTTTTTGTTAAAAGCACCAAATTTTCAGGAATGACAGAACTAATTATGACTATTAAAATGTGATATGGTGCCATCGCAAATTTTTCCTGTTAAACTGGTTTTTGGAGTGAAAATTAAACCGACCGCCATTTTGACCGGAAGTATTTATCATCTAGCCGAAAGTACACAAAATTAAGCATTTTTTAAGCCAAAATAACGATCAAATTGTTTATTATTTAAACTAATCGTGGCTATTAATATGTGATGTGGTGCCATCGCAAATTTTTCCTGTTAAACCGGCTTTTGGAGTTATTACTAAAATGTTCGCCATTTTGACCGGAAGTAAATATCACCTAACTAAAACTACACGAAATTTAGCATGTTAAGGTCAAAATGACGACAAAATTGTTTGTTCCATGTTTTTCTGGATATTTATGTCATATCAAAAAGTCAACCGTGTTACAAATTAGCGGATTAAATGAAAGAACCGGAGGTAAAAGCAGGCCAAAATGGAAAATGCAACTCATTCAAAGTAATTCATTTCAGTAGTGCATTTAAAACAAATGTGAAACAATGATTCACATTTTTAAGCATAGGAAAGGCCAAACATTCGAACAAATTAAACCAGCAAAAAACAGATTATTTCTTTTTACTTGGCTTAACCCTTTAAGTCCCAATAGTGACCAACATCAATCTTCTTCTGACTCACAATATCCATACAAGGTCAAGAGATTAGGTTCTTAGAATTAATAAAATTATCACCTGAGAGAAAATGCTTTTCTCTCTTTTATCACATGATCTCAACTTATTCTTTTAAGGAAATGTATAGAGACCAGTTTGAAGAACTTGTAAGAGTTAAAAGAGTTGATCCATTATTAACTAGAATGTAGAATGCTTTGCGGTTTTCAAAGTAATTTGAGGTATAATAGCTCCACCATTTTGTGTTATTGAGGAGTATAAATAACACCCTTTGCATGTACATATTGGATTGAAATTGCTTTCACGATAACGTCTGCTCACTTCAAAGTTTACCATTTTCAAAAAGTTTCCGGGAAATCCGTTTGGAA